TGTATTCATATACTCTTCTACTTCAAGAAAAGCTGTCAGCTGAGATGTTAAAAAAAACAAATTCCAGATTATCTTTATTTAGTTCAACAAGACGAGTTTGTCCAGATATACTCCAGTGATAAGATCTTATCGAATATTTGTAGTTTCCCGTATTATTCTTCTCATAGGCTTTTGAAATGGCATATGTTTTCCCCAAAACAAGTTGATCCTCAAAAGCACTAATATTGGAATCATATAAGATAGCTTGGATAGTATTTCCCTGGAAAATGAAAATGAAAAACGATAAGAAATTTCTTTTCTGATTATATATGAATGAGAAGTCTTAATCGTTTTAGTTTTGAAGTTGAAGCCAACTTTCTAACTAACAATAAGAAGAGTTACCTGAGTATCCATCAACACCAGATGTTGATATCTTCCATTGCCTTGTTTAGAAGGTTTTGGTGATTGTTTTTCGACAACAATGACCTTGGCTTTCCACTTCTCGTTGTTTGAGACAATTTCTGGTATGAGTTTGTATTCTTCTTCCACTTTATCTAAATCTAAAATAAATAATATATCAAATGCAGTCGGAGTAGAGCAGAAGATTTATGAGGATGATAATCTCAGAAGGGAAATGAAATGGTTTAAATAAATATAGTATAATTTGTCAAAGTTTTAAACAAAAATTAGATAAAACCGGTGAAATATGGCCAAGTAAGTTAGTTGATTGATTAACCTGAAATTTTTATTAAGTATATTATATAAAAGTACATTCTAGAGTATAATGTATGGGAATGGATTTGTCTGTGTATGATGAAATGTGTAAGTATATGGATACAGAGTAATGTATGGGAATGGATTAGTTTGGTACGATAAAATTTGTAAAGTATGAGATAGCAAAAAAATATGTATACCAGTATGGTAAAGGAATGGCAAACAACTCACGACAGTAAACAATTAATAATAATTAATTATTTAGTAAACAATAATTTCAATAAAAAAAGAGAAAAATTTGCTCCGCACAGTATGGAGGACTTGCCGAAGTTGCTTTGCACTGTGTGGAGCATTAAAAAGGGAAAAAAAATCACTCTTGTGTGTAAGGAAAATGAAATGGTTTAAAGTTAAAAAAAAAAATTAGATAAAATCGGTGAAGTATGACAAGTTATGTATAAGTACACTCTAGAGTATAATGTATTGAAATGGATTAGTCTGAATGAAATTTGCAAGTATATAAGTACATAGTAATGTATGGGAATAGATTAGTTTACGCAAGCCAAAAAAAATATGTATACCAGTATGGGGAAGGTGTAAAATTCAAAGGTGGAGGTATGACAAGTAGCTCATGACATAAACAATTAATAACAAATAATAATTTAGTAAATAATAATTTCAATCCAAAAAAAAAAACACAAGGAAAAAAAATCTAAAAGAAAAGGAAAAAAATTTGCTCCACATTGTACGGAGCAAATGCTCCTCACACTTGCTCCTCAAGCCTGTACGGAGAAACTCCAACAAGTGCTTCGCACTATGCGGAGTATTTCCTTCCTTTTTTTATTTACTAAATTATTAATTTTTAATTGTTTAATAATTGTTTTACTGAGTAATCAAATAATTTGAACGACATATTAGCTAATTTTTTTGTTTTGCAATCTTAATCATAGCAAAGTTCCTCCGCACTTAACCATAACAAAGTTGCTCCACACAGTGTGGAGCATTCTAGTTAGTGCTCCGCACTGTGCGAAGCATTTGCCCTTTTTTTCCTCTTTTTTTGTGATTTAAATTATTAATTATTTACTTTGTCAGTAAACAAACAATTGATTGCCATATTAGACCATATCAAACCAATTGGACAGTTTTATTGTATAACTAAACTATTATTTTGTTAATTACATAAAATTATACTTTTATTTCTTCTTAATCTCATTAGTCATTATTATTATTATTATTTTTTCAATCTACCATTTAGCACTTTACATCTTAGTAATAAAATTCATTTTTAATCAAATCTAGCAAATCTAGTAGACGTATCTAAAAAATAATCCCCAGAAGAGTGTTTGTCTGTTTGTTCATTTCTTACTTTGTCTATTTTTATATTCTTACCCCTTGAAGTTGTTGTCAAATCTTCTCTCAAAAAAGGACAAGTATTGTTTAGTTTAAAAAGTTTCTCATACCATTTCTTCATACGTAACCAATTTACATATCTTTACCTATACCTACCAAGCTTTCCTGAAAAAAATCAGGTTTAATCTAGTGTTTCTTTCTTGATTCTTTCACTACAATTGTTTCAAAATAAATTCGTAGTTATAAATGATATATAATTTTCAATCTTTAATTGTGTTCAAAATCATACATACTCTAGTTTATCAACACAAAAATGGATTTGCCACATAGTTTCTTCAAAATTATCGATGTTTCACTAAATCATAACATCCGTTTGGTAAGTTATATAATAATATCTTCTTTCATATTTGTATGAATATTTTATTTACTGCCTATATTTTTTTTATATATGTGGATGCTTCTTACATCTTTTATCAATTGCTAGAGACAGGAATTAGGTAATAGAATATGATTAACTTCGTATGATGGTATAATTGTAACAATACAGCTACAAACAATCGATGGAGAAATATATTAGACTAATGGATGTGAGCAATTTTTTTACTATCATAACTTACAGAATGGTTTTGTTGTAGTATTTGAATATAATGAAAATTCCACGTTCAATATGAGGATATTTGATCATTTTAAATCAGAGGTTACATATGGCTCTGATGTTGAAGAAGACGAGGCTTTACATCTAAATAATTCTACATTCGAAGTAACGATGACGCTCAATCAGAACAACCATTGAGAAATTGTAGGCTATCTTTAATATATCATTCTATATTTACATTTTTCACATTATTTTAATATTAATATCAACATTCATATTTTTTCGAAGTTTATACCAGGAAGGTTTGCAAGACACTATCTACCAGGATATGTGCGAAATGTTCGGCTCCATTCAAAGACCAAACGGTGTGGTGCGCTGTCTTATTATAGGTTGGGCCAATTTTTTGACAGAGAAGGAACTACAAATCGGAGATACATGCGTATTTGAATTATTAAATAGCGAATCTCCAATGTTCATGGTTTACAAAAAAAAAACCACAACGATGGAACTCTAACTCGTCAATGAAACTTTTCACACCAATAATGTTTAATATTTATGTTTATCCATTTCACTTTTTCGTTAATTATCTTAAATTATCGCATAAAAATTTTCATAGAAATTACACTTTTTTCCTTTCTTTACAATTCAAAAATCCTACAATGTTTCTAACTAAAACATAACATTCTCTTATATATTAATACATCTATGGTTACATCAACATACACACTCACACACACACACACACACACACATAGTTACACTAATACGCTGTATGATGGATTCACCTTGAAGAAAATGCTTTCAAGTAGAATGAACCTGTGTGTTTTGTAATAATATCACTTACCGTAGGAATATATTTACATAGAAATATAATTATGGAATGGTAAAATGATTAAGTCAAGTTAAAAAACTTACAGAAGTGGTTTCCAAAAATGGTTTCCTCCATCTCTATCCAAACTTTTAAATATCAGCTTTACCAATTGTATTCACATTAACCAAGCGACATCTGACAGCTACACAAACTAAAATGAATAACAAATGACCATTAGTAAATAGAAAAAAAGTAAGACAATTCAAAAAGTTATGTGTGATTAATACTTGTATTTAGAAAATATAAAGCATGACGACTAATTAATATATTTTTGGAAAGAATAACTTCAAAAATCCTTTTTGCAAAGATACCATTTTGCAAAATCAATATTTCATCATAACAATCAGAAGTCAAGTCCAGATTTGTTATTAATTTTGTGTTTGTAATAACAAATATAATCAATAAAGAATTATAACAAATAATTAAGAATATACTTTAGAAATCTTCATCAGCTGAAGATTCCAATATTTCCCGTGAACTAAATTCAAGATTTCATGATAGACAATATTTTTGGTATAACAAGTATGTGACTTATTTTTGACAAAAGGTTTCATCAGAACTTTTATATTTTCGCTTGTTCTAGCTCGGGACAATGCAACATACAATTAGCCATGGGAAAATACAGGTTCTAGAAAATATAAGCCAACAAAATCTAGAGTTTGACCTTAAGATTTGTTAATGGTCATTGCAAAACATGGACGAATTAGAAATTGAGTTCTTTTAAATGATATAGAGTGTTTATCGCCTTCAAGAGGATGAATGGAACTCTAGGTAAAAATACTTGATTTCCACGATATTTTCATGTCTCAATTTTAGCCAAGATAACATTCTGCTTAAAATCACGACAAATAAATTTAGTCCCATTGCATAGACCTTCTGCGGGATTAATATTTCTGAACAACATAATTGGACAAATTTTTTTTTTCAATATGAATTCATGTGGAAGTATATCGTTTGAAACTAGACTATTCAAAAAATCTTCATCAATAAATCCTTTACTTTTATCAATCATTTCATCAAAACTAAAATATGTAACTTTCTCTCCCTGAATTTCTTTAAGCAACATATTGTTTATTAAATCTACATATTTCATTTTTTAGGGTTAAAATAATTTTATTCATCATAATATGTAGGTTGTCTCCATATGTCTGGAAATTGGAAAACACAATGTCAATTAATTCCTTCAATGATTTAAATCCATCTTCAAAATTGATGGTAATATCTTCAGGAAGTGCAATCATTTGGCATGAATGTGTTCTCTCTATTCCATTCCCAAATTTCAGCAAATATTCACAGCATGACGGATCTAATTTAGCTCTCATATTTTTTACTAATGCTAGCTGTGTAAAAGAACGCCATAATGCGAAAAAACTAAACTTGCCTTCATTATATCGTCTTTTATTCCTCTTTGTACTACTGGTAAAATTTGTCGAAAATCTCATCCACACACAATGACTTTTCCACCAAATGGTAATTGACAATCAGTAATGTCTCTTACATTTTATCTAAAGCCTCAAAAGTATATTTATGAACCATTGATGTTTCATCCCAGATTATTAACCTAGTCAATGGTAAACGTTTACCAAGCGCAGACTGTTTACTCACCGAACAACGCATATCACAACTCACTTTTAGCGGAATTTTGAATCTTGAATGTCCTGTTCTACTAGCCGATAATAGAGATGCAGCTACTCCTGATGATGCCGTTTCTAGTGCGATAAGATTTCGAGATCGTACACCAAAAAGTAATGTCTTGTACAAATATGTTTTTTCAGTGCCTCCTGGGCCATTAATAAAAAACATTCCACTCTTATCATTTAAAACACAATCCAAAATAGTATCATAAGTATTTTGTTGCTCTTTATTTAAACTCTTACTATAATGTACGTCTGACTGAAAATTAATATTGGTTGTTTCTTCGGCAATCATGGTTTCAAAGATATCATCATCATTCACAGATAAATCAAAATCTACCAAGTAAAAATCAATTATACTCTTACCAACACTTTCTAAGAAAGAATTTATACAGTGTAAATCTTCCATCTTAGCACTTTGTTGTGTGAAACCTTTATGTAAATAATCTTCTATCATGAAATCCTTAAATTTATTCCGTAAATTCATTTGTTTTGTAGAGCAAGATAAACTTAATACATTGGCAAATAGTCGTCGCAGTAATATGGGCATTTGGTAAGCAACTGCCTCAAATAAACACATCTCAAAATAGCTATTTTCACTAAGAAGATCATGGGAAAGTACTGCTTCACAATAAGTAGATAAAACAATACCATTGACTGCTTTTTAATCTTCAAAAGATTTTGACTCTCTAATATGATGTAACAAAACTCTTAAAAAATACCTCTCACCTTCACATGGATTAGCACTATTCTACCAATAATATCTTTGCTTTTCTAGGACTCCAAATTCGCATGGATGTATCCCATACGAAATAGGTTGGAAATTCTTTATACAATAGAGTTTTTACCTTTTCATTTGAAATATTCATTTTAAAGAATTCTGTTAACATTGTTCGGTGAACAAAATCCTTATTTATAACCTTTGATAAATCATCTGTCTCATTGTATGTAACCGTTTGAGCATCTTTAGTATATAACTGTAAAAAAATTACTGTAGGAGATATATCAAATAAATCAAAACTAAATATCCTCCACATAACTTCAGGTGGAGATATCCATCTAGCTGTTTGATAGTTTGAAATCTCATCAACGAATTGTTCGTTTGTTTCTTTATCTAAAGTAAAATGAATGCGGCCATGTCTCTTATACACATACTTGTATAGATATTTAACAACTTTAACAGAAGAACATACCTCCACATTAATGTGACAATCATATTTAGCTAAAATGTAAGGATTATACGGTACAACCCATCTATTATCCAACATACACCCTCTTACTTTAACACTTACACCATCATTGCGACGCTTGCAAAGTGGGTAGGAATCATTACCCAAAGAAGTATTTTCAACATAATCTCTCGAATATTTATTTTTACACACAAAATTCTTTTTCATACAAACATTCTTAAGATTCAAATTCCTACAAGGACCATGCATCATATGTTTTAAAATAGTAGCATACAGGTAAGGGTTTTTTTTGTCTGATATTTCTGATGAGACAATTTCATTGACTTGTACATAGTTTCGGATCTTAGAATTTCGTTTAAATATAAGAAGAAAATGTGCGTGAGGTAATCCTCTTTTCTGGAATTCAATCACATAAGCATGTGCAGCAATAGGATCCAACAACTTTCTCTTAACCAAATCTGCCTTCAATTCCTCAAACTTGGCACAAAATATTCTTACTAACAAACCTGGCCTATTCTGTATTTCATCACTGTGTTTCAATTCACATTTTATTTCAGGCCAATTTGGATTACACCTTATTGTCAAAAACATATCAGGTTTACCATATCTCTGAACTAAAGACATTGCATCCATATATCTTTTAGTTATGTTCCTAGGACCCCCAACAAAATTAGAAGGCAACAATAATGATCTACCAATTTTATAACCTCTATTCTCACTATTTTGTACACTATCTACAATTCCCTAATATAGTTCAGCTCTTATAACCTTTTGGTTATTACTAAAGTAGTCTAATCTCGCTGTTTCAATTTTCACATACATATCCACAACATATTGCTATAAAAGTCTGCCAACATATAAAAGAACACAATTATATACACACCTGATTTGAAGCTTATAACAATAATATTCCCGACATGATACAGTTATTCATTTTTTTTGCCTTAAAAACTGTAAGAAAGAAAAGAATATATCAACAAAAACTTCATTCACTAAATGCAATTACTAAGATAAATAAATTAGTTTAATTCTATTACTAAAATTGTTTATCATAGTCTTTTATTTCCAATAATTGATCCGCACAATGGACATGATTAATTTCTATTAAATTCTGACAAACCAGAGCTTGTGAAACACTTACATTCACCTTTTCAATACTTTCATAACATCCAGGTTCTCCATACATGAAAAGTAGTGATTATTGGGTAGGATCATAACAACCATAATAGTATTGAACTTTATATGCATTACCTAAATCTCCATAAATTAATAAATCCTGACCTCTAGTATTTGTAGATGGGTGATTATCAACCCAAACTAATGCCACTTGTTGTGATGTTGGCAAGTTATATATTCTTCGATCAACACCAGGATTAGACTTCAGTAAATTACAATATGATTCTAAATCACTAACTTCACGTAATGATCGGAAAAACTTTGAATAGGGATTTTTGTTTAGAACATCTATCAACTTTCTCAAAGTAAACTCACAAAATTTGTCAGAAGTAATCAGTCTATTACAAATTTCATTTTCAGTATCATAGAAGTATAACTGTAAATACATTAGATTCTCATTTTTTGGCACAAGTGAGTTTATGAAATGGTGTACTTGTCCTTGAACTCTGAAAGTATATATACATTTATTATTCTTACACGATTCTTTGTCATACTTAACATCAAACGAAGTAAATGCAAAATGATTGTTATAATTACGAACAACCTTTTTAAAAGCTACAGCCTCTTCAGATGTGGAGGTAAATAAATCATACGTTTTAGGAGGTATATCATGTAACTGTAATTTGACATTTCCATCACAACAACATAATCATTTGCTTTCTCTATAGAATTTTGTAGCACCACAATGATCACAAATTTTAGAAGATGACAAAGCATAAGGTTGATGAGGACTACTTCCTTTACCAATTTTTCTGCATATTCAACACTCACACTCACGTCCCCTGATTCTCCTAATTCAAACGTTGATTAGCATAACCTACAAGAAAAAAGAAAAAAATTTTGAAAAAAAGGAAATTGTAAGGAAAAAAGCATTCCATATAAATAAACTAAACATAATTGTATATAAAAAATGACCCAACAAAATCTATAAAAAAAATCTCCGAAGAATTCGCAAAGATTAATTGATCTCTGCGAACTATGCGGAGTGCGGAGGAGTCTTCGGAGTATTTTCTGTAAAAAAAAACACAGCCAATAAACAAATACAACAAATACAAGCACAACAACATGATAAACTAAAAACTATAGAAACGCAAACACGAACAACTTTTTTAAAAGATGTAGAATTAAATAAATTATACTAAAAATCTTTTCATCACAACAACAAAAGCCTCTGCTTTCTCTATAGAATTTTGTAGCAGGGGAATGAGCACAAATTTTAGAAGATGGCAAAACATAAGTATTTCCTTTACCAATTTTATTTGCATATTCAACACTCACACTTATTCTCCTTATTCAAAATGTTGATTAGCATCACGAAAGAAAGAAAAATTGAAAAAAAAGGAAATTGTAACGAAAAAAGCATTCCATATAAATAAATTATATTATATAAAAAATGACCGCTATAAAAAAAAAAATAAATATCTCCAAATAGTTTGCAGAGATCAATTCATCTCTCTGAACTGTGCGAAGAGACCACTCTTCCCTCCGCACTCTTCGTACACTCTCCGCACAGTGCGGAGTTTTCAAATTTTTTCTGAAAAAAAACAACCAATAAACAGATTAAAACACAACAAAGATTGACAAACTAAAAACTACTGATAAACTAAACATAATTATTATATAAAAAAATAACTTCAAATTTAGCTTGTTCAAACTGCTAAGAAAAAAAAATTAGTAGGTTGATTTCTCCGAAATGTGCAGAGAGTTCTGAACTCACGTGCCATCTCTCCGTGCCACCTGATTTTTTTTTCGACAAAATCTGATTAAAACAAATATAAGCACAAAAAAAAAGCATAAACACTACTAAATATCAACCTATTAAACTCAAGGTCCTTAGACGTCGATCAGAATGAACTGCAGAATGAGGTTGCACTTCATGCATCAGATTTTTTAGTTGAAGATTTTCAATGCACGTCTGCTTTCTCTTTCTTTCATAAGCTCGTCTATTCTTAAACCAATCACCAACATTTTTTTTCAGAAATAGCAGGATTATATAGCGATAAGGTGGAGACTATATGTAGAATTTTTGCATTATTTGGACTTTTATTTCCTCCATCAAATATGCATCGAAAAAAATCAATCTCTGTAAATGTAGGTATCCAACGTTGTTGTCTTCCCATGCCGACAGCAAGCTAAAAAGTTTAAATAAAAAAGAATCAACGTTGAAAGCTTTGAAGATAAAGTAATAATATCTGGAATGTGGTCCAACAAAAACAGAATTCACCAAAACGAAAAAAAAATAGAAATAAAGATATCAATAAAAAGGAAAATATAGAGTATGGTATGGTCGTGGGAGTACGGTTAGCATGGTTGTCAGCATGATCGCAAGTATGAATAGAAAAAAAAAAGAGGAAAAAAATAGTGTGAACAGTAAAATGGGATTGCTTTACTATTGTATCTACAGTTGCATCCATTCATCTTTTTAATAGAAGTCAGGAAAAAAAAGTATTTAACCGCATTTCCTTTTTTTTTTTTTTCCTTATAAGAATCCCAGTCTCCCCCAACTCTTTTTAATATTCCCATTCCATTATATTCTCTCATCTTATCTTTTTTTTTTTTTTTCCCTTTTTATGAAGTAGAAGATCCATTTTTTTTATATAATGTATTTCAATAAATTTCATCGGTTTACCCTCTTTGGTCTCATAATTTTGTTTATTTTTTTATCGTGTGGGTCAATTGTGAAAGTTAATTTTGAGGAGCACTTACACAAATACGGAAATAGCCTATATTTTGTGGTAGTTATGAAAAAAATAATAATAAAGTTAAATTAAATGGTAATTAGTTATATTTGAACGTAAAATATACAGCCAAACTTAAAATCACTGACAATCCTAAAAAATCAACCTCCAAATTGGAAAAATCAAAGGTAAAAGATGAAATCTTCTTCAAATACACAAACAAAATTCGTTCATTCTTCAAAACTCTGGAAAAAGATTGAGATTACTTCAACAATGAAAGGTCTGAAAGAATATCAAGGAAATATTCATGTAATACACAAATAAAGTTACATGTGTGTGTGTGCGTACACACACACACACACACACACACACACACATATATATATATATATATATATATATATATATATATATAATTGGATTAGCTTTGAATATTGTTAATAAAATTGTTGTTGTTGGGATCTAGAGTAAGCTGATGTAAAGCTTGCGCAGGCTAACTATCTACTTTCATGCTTGGCAAATTTCAAAAAGGTAGTAGCTGATATTGGTTGCACCCCTTCAGCGCTCGTTACTGGTGACTTCAATTAAGTACCTGGAGATCAGTTTGATCGGTATTTTCCATATTCTATTACTAGAAGTTACATATCTCATCCATTACTTTGTCAATTGAGTTTATTTCACATTTTCTTACTGATATTGTAGTGATATAAGTAATTATTTTTAAAACTTCGCATTATACTTAATTTATAACATGATTATAGTAGAACAACACAACACAATTATTTGAATCAATTAAAATGATGCATTTAATGTGTTTGACAAAAGGAGAATGTGAAAAAGTGACAGAGAATGTGAAAAAGTGACATTCTTCGCTCTTATGTAAAAAAAAAAAATTGTCACAGTATCTCATTTGAACAGTTAATGACATCCATATATGTTCATTTTTGTAAATTTTAACATAAGAATTCAAACTTTGTTTTGTGTAAATACATATGAAAAGGAAAATTTTGAATTAATTAAATTGATCCATGTAAGGTCTTTGAAAAAATGAAAATATGAAAAGTAACATAATGTCACTTTTCTCTTCTGTCACTTTTTAGAAAAAAAAGTCACAGTATCTCATTTGATCAATGAACTATGTGCATACGTATTTACGTTTTTGAAAATTTTAACATATGAATTCAAACCTTATTTTATGTTAATACACATGAAAAAAGAAAAAAATTGGATCAATTAAATTGATAAATGCAAAGTAGTCGAGAAAAGGAGAATGTAAAAAAATAACACAATGTCACTTTATATGAAAAAGTAACATTCTGGCACCTTTTTTTTTTTTTTAAAAAAAAGGTCACAGTATCTCATTTGAGTAATTAACTATATGCATATGTGTTTGTTTTTTAAAATTTGAACATACTAATTCAAACATTGTTTTATGCTAATATACATGACAAAGAAAATTTTGAATCAATTAAATTGATGTATGCTAGGTGTTTGAGAAAAGAATAATATTCTGTTACGTTTCTGACAAAATTATATTACGCTATCACTTAAAAAAAAAATGTCTCCCATAATTTCTTTGTAATCCTTTTGTAGGGATGAATAAAATTAATGTCTTCATTTGTTATGGGAGTAAATGGACATAAGATAATGAATATGCAAGTGACAAAATGATTGGAATTATTGTCCTGCTAGATTGCACGTATAACAACTTGGAGTGTATAATATTTTCAGTGTTGAACTTAAATGCATCAGCGCAGAGACTAAAAACATGATATAGAGTGAAGAAAAAACTACCTTTGATGGAGATTTTAAATGATATTTTCTCTAACATTTTATTTAGAACTCACGAGGATGGATAAACAATCTTGTAAGCTTTCCATTGTGCATAGATGTGACAACCGTATTGAAAAGTCATAAAATTGAATTTGTTAATAACATACAATGTTTGGAGGCTGCTGATATTGAAGAAAATGATGGGATGCTTTTGTAAATCAATAACTGATTGACATCAGTTCAGAAATTACCTAATATCGAAAAATTTGCTATTGATGTATATAATATAGTATATAGTGAGTTGAAGAAACGACGAATAAATGATGAAGTGATATTATCTCAATAGTCACTATAGATGAAATTGCAAAAGATAATGTTCAGGAATAAGACATTGGTTTAGAGAAGTATTTCGATATACACAATAACTTTCAATTCAAGGTAAGCGAGTTGGACAAGAAAAAATGTGTTGAAGTGTATAGATGATAAGTGCAAATGGACTTTCAGGTAAGAGAATTCATCATGTACAAGTATATTTCAACAAAAACAACATATACTCTTGCAGATATTATATGTAACATGATGAATATGTATGGAGTATTGTTAAGTTATGAGAAAACTTGAAAATCGAAGGAGAAAGCATTAGAATTAGTGAGAGGAGATCCCTAAGAATCATATGAAAAGTTTCCAGAATTTTCGTACATGATAGAACAAACAAATCTCGGACCAGATATAAAAATTAAGATACATGAGGATAACAAATTCAAGTACCTCTTTATGGAATTGAGAGCATCTATTCAAGGGCGGAAGTACTGCAGACCCATTATAGTAATAGATGCTACATTCTTAAAAGAAAATTATGGTAGAACATTTTTCACTGCATCTACACAAGATGCTAACAACAATAACTTTATATTAGCCTTTGGAGTTGGTGATTTAG